TGTGCAGCACCTGCCCCTCCCCTAGCCCCAGCCCCACTCCCTCCCCACCCCTGCTGCTCCAGAATCCCTCGGCGGGGCTATCACTGCCCTGCATTTGTGGGGGGTGGCTAAGCTCCATTAGTCCCCACTTCCACCACCTATACCCATCAGCCCAGCCAGCCGGGGGCTTGCTCCGCCCCAGCTCAAATTGCTGCTGTCCCAGGTGCATATGTAGATGCTGCACCTGGGTACAACTGACTCCAGCAGAAACTGCTCCAGAATCTGTTGCATTCCATTAACTGGACATGTAGATGCTCCCACTGAGACCTTTTTTTGGTTGTAGTAGTAATACATACGTCCTGTCACTGCAAGCAGTTACACTTATACTTAAGTAGATGAGAAGTCCCATCAAAGTTAATAGGATGCATTATGTCAGTAAACATTGGCGACATGTAGGGGGTGGAAGCAGGTGCACGTACATGCACTGAGATTGGCTGTGCACCCCCTGGAAGTACCAGCTGCAAAACCAGAAGTGCCAATGGAAGTGCACTTCCGGTTTTGCCACTGGCTCAGTGATCAGCCTCTGGGGGGATCCCCTCCCCACCCCTGTCAGCGATCAGTGGCTGGACCCCCCCTCCCATCTGCAATCTGGTGCCCCCCCAGACTCAGGAGGCACCAGTCATCCGTGTCAGTAAAGTCAAATATCTGCTTAGGTAGTTGCATGATCAGTCTCAGAGCCTTAATTTTCAATATTTTGGGCTGCTTCTTCATAGCAGTTTTATAAAATCAAGTAAGAATTTACCCATAGCAATGTTTTAAAAATGAGAGCATTCATAATTTAGTTCATAATAAATTTTAATCCAAAGGTCCTGTAGCAAAAGTTTTCAAGTTTTTAGAACACCTGATTTAAATAAATGATTTTTTAAAAAAATCATACCACTTTCTTTCAAAGCCTTCAGTGTTGAAACCACTTCAAAACATTAACATTTTTCAAGTTTTTTTAATTTATTTTTCAACCCTCTGTAAGGAATACGTTGTTTACCATAACCCCCTCTCAAGAAACCCTTTTAAAATTCTCAGTGGCTTTTATCTAGGGTAGGTGAAGCAATATTATTTCAACAATTCAGTACCTGAATGCAGGGTAGCTTCTTCCTCTAAATTCCTGTACTCTTGGAAGTTCCTTCCTGGAAAATAGGAATTGGTTATTTCTATAGTCTTTTAAGTTAAACCTTGCATGATTTAGTATTAATGCTGTGCTCAGCTTGGATCTGTTAGCAATAAGTTAGCTTGCCTGAAGCTTGTTGTGAAGGAATTGGCTTGCACTTGTGAACATAACTCTGGAATAAATGCTTTTTCCCATAAATAGGAACAATGTTGTAACTTAGAGTAAAATATTTCATTAAAATTCAGTTGTACATAAATAGCTATTGGGCTGAGGTATAACCAGGAATTTGGATACTCTGGTTGGGGGCAAGGTGATGTGCTGAATGCCAGAAAACGAGGGATATGCTGAGTGCTTATCTCTTTGTGCAGCAATCACTGCAGCTTCAGTCGGCTCACAGGCTGCTGGTGGCTTGGCATGAGCTCCCCAAACATGAGTTACTGCTGAAGTGATGGCAGCTTGGACTCAATAAGGGATACCATTTTGGTGTCCTTCTTGCCTAAATCAATGCCTGTAACTGGTTCCCCACTTACCTACCCTGTAGTTATACTACTGCATTTGGGAATGCTGATAAACTCATTCAAGTTTGGAGTTACATGTGATATATATATCGTTCTTGTGAGTTTTATTTTTGCTTAGTAACTTCCATTAACCTTGTCATTTTGTCTGTCTTTGCACCTTGATTTTGGTCTATAAGGCAGTAGTAAACAGGGAGCAGAGATAGAAATGGTAAAGGAGAAAATTTCGGGAATTTTGCTTCCTTCAAGATCCTTTCTTTTTTTTTAACTTGATGATGGTGTGTGAAATACTTACCTGGTTCAAACCATTCATTGCCACCTCTACCTAAGAGAACACAAAGTGTTACAGTTTAGTTACATCTTCATATAATTATATTGGGAAATATAAGTGTCTTAAACCATGCAATTCTGAATTCTCCATAGCTAAAAAACTAAATTTAATTATCTCATCACCCACCTATGAAATGAAAACACTTCTGGGGAGAACATTGCTACTTTTAACAGCCCAGAGAAAGAAGACACAATAATTTAAGATAGAACTTGAGGAAAATAGATTATTACAGCTCGTCCAGAAAGAATTTCAAGTAATGAGAATGATAGATAATTTATCCAAGACAGAAGAACAGATGTCTATTTTTTTTTTAAACTTAAAAAGTTATTATGAGATTTTTCTAATGTAAGTATGCAGGAGTTTTAATCTTCTGTATTGTATCTCAGTAGAATGATAATGTCTCATTTGGTCCTTTTGCACTATGTTATTATAGATTTAATGCTGTTTTGGTTGCCTACAACCAAATGGTTAGTGAACACTATTAATCCACTGCCTTCAGAAACTATCTCCTCATAATTAGAAGAGAATGTAACACAATCACTATGCTGTGGTGCAAAGCTAAAATTTTATCTGGCCTATGGGGCCCCTAAAAAATTTAGAAAAGTAACATTTATCTGCCCTGGACTGCCTGTCATGCGACCCTTGATGGCTTGCCAAAACTCAGTAAGTGGCCCGCTGCCCAAAATAATTGCCCGCCCCTGGACTCTAGCCCATTCTTTTAAAAGATTTAACTGAGCTAATGCTGTCATCCTTGCTTGGTCTGGAAATGTGATAAGCTTTGACAGTAGGGCAGAAAGTTGGACCACCTACTCCAGGGGGATCTGAAAGTAGTATGGAGGGACACAATATGCCCCAGAACGTCATGTTCGCATCAGGATAGAGCTGTTGCTTACAGCCCTTTTTCTGGGAGGTAGCACATTTTGCTTTGCTTTTCTTCCCATCCTGACTGCATGATGGGGAGAGTCATAGGCTGGTAAGGGGGGCACAAGGGACACGTGCCCCCCCCAACAGGGCTGCTGCCACTGGTGGCATCCACAGGTGCTCACCAGCTCTGTCTGCTGTGGGTGCTTGCCAGCTCTGTCTCCACTGCCAACACCGCCACCGGCGTCTGCGGGTGCCCCCCCCAGACTTGGGAGGCACCAGTCACCCATGGGCAGAGTTATTGCATTGCTTATTCCCTGCTGCCTAGGGGAGGGGAGAGTAATGAAGAAAGAGCTTCTGTTCTTCTAGCATTATTGGGACTATGATGTTGGGGAAGCTGTACAAAGTGCATGGAGGTGTAGCCCATGCAGGGGTTGTGCAAGGGGAAAGATATTTCTATTCTCCTGTACAGCCATGTAAACTGAGATCATAATGTAACTCTGGGAAGATACTTTTATGACAACGGTAATCCATTTTATAGTATGGCAAGTCTCTACTTTAGAATGTATTATACACATGAATTCTATACATGACGGATATTTTGCTGCGTTCAGATCTAGTATCTTTTAAATAACCCATTATGTAAGAAAAACTTGCCTGTCCCCAGGCAAGATCTAACATGGCAAAGCACTGTATCTTTTGATTTGTGTGAGACAGCATGCTCAGAGAAATTGCTATATTTATCTCTAGGCAGAGTCTTCAAAGAGAATTTTCTAAAGATAGCAAGGCAGTGTTTGAAATGACAAGATCCAGAGAGACATTTCTCTTTTGCTACGTATTTTGTACAGTATACAGAAGTCCCTGATTCTGGCTACATCTCTGCAGGCATGTCTATGTGTGCCTATCAATGCACAGCAATAAGATCCAGAGATTATTGCTCTGGAGCTTATTGTTGCTGGGTACACAACTGCATGTGTGCCCGGGATCACAGCATGGTAAACTGGGATGGAGCAGGCCCAGCTGGCAGGGAGCCCTGGGGGTTAGCCTGCCAGTCTGGAGCTGCTCCCCCCAGCTTAACATGCAGCAGAGGGGCTGGCTGGGGCACAAGGGTGCTTCAGTTCAGGGCTAGAAGGCAGGTAGCCGCTGCACTGAAGCAACCTTGTGCCCCAGCCAGTCCTTCCAGTGTCTACATGTGCACTCCTGTGAAGTCTTTACTGCACAGCAGGATAGTATTTGTATTTACAATTACTACCCTCTTGCAGAGTTTATTAATTTACTGTAGCCTAGGGACATGTGTAGATGCTGGGACATTTACTGCACAGTTAATTAGTCTACTGCTCAGTAAACCTCTCATGTAAATGTGCCCTGCAACACACATGTTTAACAGTAGGCAAAGCTCTTACCTCTTCTCAGAAACTTCTGCCTTTGGTAAAACTGATGGGGCATATATCTTGCTTCATATCCTGTGAATCAGAAAAGCATCATATATAAATTATCCTCAGAAGAAAAAAGAAGATGAATATTCATTTTCTTAAGAAATGCTTCAAAACTAGCAGGATCAGTTCTAAGAGCAAAATCCCACCTTTGATGTATGCTGTACAGCAGTGATACTGAGAAGAACAGTAATTGTGCTTGTAATGAATAACCTTTTTCAACTGGTGATAAGCAAAATGACAAAAAGCAAAAAGTATCCTGCAGAAATTAAATATTCCTCTGCATCTACTGCTCTCTTACCACACAACTTAATATGAAGGTACTACATAGACCAAGATATTTATTAAGTGTAAATAATAACTGAAACCTAGTTACATTCCCTGAGGGATGCTGGAGCAAGACTAACCACATGGTTCATGACAGAGAGAGAAAGGAGGAGTCAGGTTCTCTCTCCTGTTCTATATGGTGCTATATTTAACATACTCATCATTGCTTAAAATAGCTTTTCCTCTCAGATTTCATCTTCTGTCTGCATTAAGCAGAACTTGATGGAGCAAATAATCAATGCAATGATTGGTAATGCTGTCTGAATGCATTTCAGTGCAGCTTTTGAATCCTCAATTTTTTTCTTGGGGAATCAAAATTGTAGCAAGGCAAATGACTGTGAAAAGCTACATTCTGCAAAAATGTTTGCAAGAAGGAACAAGTTCAAAATTAAGTTGTTGAATTTCTGTGAGACCCTGTACTTTGGCCACCTGCAATGTTCCATATTTTACATTATATTTCTGGACTGTTTATAGATGCCAGTCACATGGGAGAGATCCTGATATTTCAATCAAACAGAGCCCAGGGGAATCATATCTTTAAAAGAATCCTGTTGCATGAGAAAGAGTTGCTGCTTGTAGAGTTTATAGAAGTAAAAGTCAGTTTCCTCCATCTCTGCATCACATACTAATCCCTAAGATGTAGAAAAGACAGACTTAATAATATCTGTCTTTACTTCTGCTTTGTAAAGCCATAGGGAATCTGTGGAGCCCTGGACAGCTCCTGGCATAATTTAAGGAAAAGCAGATCACTGGCTGTTCCATGCTGTGCCAACTTAGAGCTACAGCAGATGGGTTACGCAAGCTTACAGTGTGCCACAGACATTTTTCTTCTTATTCTGGCCTGTTCCCCATACAAAAAGAGGCCAAACAGAGTAGCAGAGAGCCAGGTATTCTGGCTATCTGACAGCTGAGGATTCAGGCCCATTGTGGCTGTTGAATTAGTGTAGTCTTTGGCCCCTGCCACACACTACATATATTATGCAATTAACTGGTTATTCATGCAATAAATTTAGACTGGTCATATGTGCAAAGTGAGACCAGCCACACGTGCAAAGTAATTATCACACAATTAACTGGTTAATTGCATAATAAATATAGATTGGCCACACATGCAAAGCAATTGTAATGCCATAAAACTGTTCATCCAGCTATAAAAAGAGCTGACCAGCTACAAAGTTAGTGCTTGGAAATGTGTAACAACTTTATAGTTGATTTCTCTCAAGCTTTAATTTGAATGTTTGGCAGTTCCCTTTGCTACAGACACATTTCTTTATTCAAGAATCCATTATCAGCAGGTGTACAGTTCCTTGATTTCTGCAACTAAACCCAAAACATGAAAACTGAATCTGTTCTACTCTTAACAACAGACATCAAGAGTAGTTACAACTGGCTCTTGCATGTATTTGGTAGGGAGGACATTAGAAAGATTCCTGAGGTCAGTTCTGAAGAAGACTCCTCTTGTGAGAATGATGTAAAACATAAAGTCTAAACTTTTGATTCTCCAAACTTTTTAAATCACTGAGCTCATAATAAATAGCATGCTGTCTTTGGATGCTGTCAGAGTTGCAGAAAGCCAGAGTCCAAATGCTAAATTTAGTCTACTCTTATTTAGTTTCTTGGAATAATCATTGAGGACATTACTATCAAATATCACGGAGAGCTGGGTGCATTAAACCTGTATTCCTTAAACCTGTATTAAATTTTCGGCTCCAAAAATTCTGGTGTATAAAATATGGACCAATTTGCTGATGGTCTGTCACTCGATCAGGATCCTATCAGATTTGATCTAGTCAAACTATTTAATGCAGTGATTTTTGCTCATGAGAAATGTTCTTCTTGACATTCCTAGTTCTGAAGAGATTATTTAAAGCATCCTGCTATTCTTTTAAATCTTTTGACAGATTTATAACATTACAGGTGCTATACTTGCACTGAAAGGCATTTTCATGGAAGCCCTGTGTGTCTAAAACTGGCCAGGGATTTTCCTTTGGAATGATTTGCTGATGGAAACTGTTCAGAAAATTGATGTTTTCTACATTTTTGCTGAAAATCTTCTGTTTTGTCAAGAATTTTTTAAATGCAAGATTTTTCACTTTTTGGTTTTGAATTGACCTCAAGAGTTTGATTTTGATTCAGTTCAACAAAATATTAAGCTGCATTTCCCTATCGGTGCATTTCTTACGGAGGCTGTAGTTTGGGCTCACAGTGGAGCAATGCAATTCAGATTTCCCTCTGATTGAGCTACTTGTTTTATCATGGAAGCCACATGGTGAAATATGTTGTCAGGGTACACCTAACACACACCAACAGTATTAGGTTTCTCACAAAATGTAGCAGTCATGGGCATGTTGCCTGCTCTAGTATACACTAGTCCAGGGGTTAGAGTTCACAGCTAGTAGTTGAGTTCTGGTCTCTGTTTCCAGGTTTTGGATTTTTTCATCATTTCATAGTTTTTAGGGTCAGAAGGGATCTTCATAGATCATTTAGTTCAACCCCCTGCCTTGGGCAGGAAAGAGATCTGGGGTCATATGACCCCAGCCAGGTGCTTGACCCCCAAGGTATGACCCCTAAGGTAGAGGAGAGCACCACTTCCCTTGGAAGCCCATTCCAGAGTTTTAAATTCAATGAATATGTATTTTAAAATGCATAAAAAGTCCTTGAAGCAGAAACAGGAGGCCGGGTGACTCCCCTCATAAGAAATCATTGTAGCCACTAGGCTACAGTTTAGGCTCCCTCTTGCACTCCCTCTTTTGTATTCGTTTCTGATTAGTGGCTCAGCTTCAACACAGAAGGTGGAGGGTACACCACCTGCACTTCGCCTAGACCTTAGTAGCTAGGGCCCTCTCTACAGCTGAAAAATATGGATTTGACCTGCTTCAAACAGAAGAGGTTGTAGAACCCAGGTCACTTGCCCCCTGCAAGCATGATCTAGTTGCCAGGCTCTTATATAAATGTGGACACCATGACCTCTAGCAGCTGTGTTTTAAAAGCAAGCAATTATTTGAAAGACAAGTTGGGTCTTGTGTCATGTAAAGACTCTGGGTTCTGGAACCCAAGTGGACAGTTGCCTCCCTGTAGCCCACAGTCAGGTGCCTAAACTCCAGCAAAGGCACACATTCAGACACGCCCTTATGCTTAGATTTTCCTTGTTGGCTCATTCTAGATGGCCTGCCCCTAAATATGAGTTTGTTTTGCATCATCCTTCTGATGTACCTGACTCTCCCCATGTATTATACAGGCCCCATATATGCCTAAAGTTGCATTTTGAATTCCAAACCAAGTGCTTGGGTCTAAAAGGAGTTGCAGCGCCAAGCTTGTGTTTAAGTCCTACATTGATCTAGTCCTAAACTTCCACTCCAGCCAAAATTTAGTAGTGCTCAGCCCAGAATTAAGTGCAGGTCCCCCTCAGAAATGATTATTATATTTTAAAGTTTTTCTTGAGAACTATTTCAGAGGTTGCTTTTCCGATCTCATCTGAAATACGGGAATTATGTCTAAAACATAAAACTGTTATATTAAAATCTCTGGCTCACAAAATGGCTCCTTGCGAGGGAGAGATTCTGGGACCATTGATGAGATCATGGATCATTATGTTGGTAGCTGGGTACACAGTCTGTCTACCACATCATGTTTATATGGCCCCCATCGCTAGCACCTCAATGTGTCACATTCTTTATGTGAATTTACCCTTGGACCTTCTCTGTGAGGTAGGTATATACTGTTATTCCCATTATACAGATGTCAATAAAGGACTTGGGCTCAGAAAAGCTTAATATTTAAGTGTCTAGCCTTTGAGTGGTATCCTACATCTTCAGTGACAACTAGGCTCCCTATGCTGTACATGGAGTGAGTTAAACATGTTTGAACAGTGTCTAAACCAGTTTGTATGCTGAACAAGAAATGCTGTCCCCTAAGCACCTCTCTCAGATCTGGAATCCACATCCTGGAAACCTCTCTGGAAGGTGGGCATCTACATCCTTTGTCTCAAAGGAGTGCTCAGGAATTATTTGTTTTTTTGAACCACACCTGGAAGAGGTGGTGCTTGTCCTCTTTAATATAATAGACAAATGGCTGGGACAGTCACTCAGGATATAGTGGACTCCCATTCAATTCCCTTATCTGCCAGAGGAGATTCAACCCCACATCTCCCTGAGAGTGCCCTAACCATCATGCTGCAGACCATTCTAGGTGGGGAACTCACCCCCAGTCCTGTTCAAGTTGAGCCAGAGAGAGGGAGCATGTTCCTTTGCTTATAGTTAGGGCATTCACCGGAGGGGAAAGAGACTGCGCCAGGGAGGGTTTATGTATTTTATCCAAAGGCTGTGTGATATAGACAGGAGAAGCAGTCTTTGGATTAGGGACCAGAACTCAAGTCTTTTCCTCTCCGAGTGGTCTAATTAATACTGTATTTTTAATGCTCATTGGCATGTACCCCCAAATAGCCTATAGCCTAGTCCAGTGGAGGCCAACCTTTTTGGTAGTTGTGCCACAAATTAGCTCTACACTTTCCCCAAATGCCACTCCCATCCCCTTCCTCTGCCTGATTGGCTGCTCTGTTTTCTGCTTCCTGACCTATGCTCCCTGTCTGATTTGCTACTCTGTGTTTGGTTCCTTGCCTTACCCATCACTGTACTGTCTGTCCCTTCCCCTGTCTCCCATGTGCCACACACAGCAGCTGCCCAAGCTACTTGTAACCAACCTGCAACATGTGTGCCCTTTGTCTGGGCATGAATTGTGGCTATACAGGTTCTCTGAGGTGTGTGGGGGGTGCATTTTAATTAGAGCTTGCCCCTGCCATCATTTTGAAATGTGGGACACTGAACATATGAGACACTGCAGCGTGCTGGACCATTTTAATTAGAACGCTCCAGACAACCTGATTAATCAAATCTGTTCCAACACATCCTAATCAGAACAGATTGGAGTATGTATATAGGCACCCAAGGAGACTAACCCAAGGAAATGACATCCCCTAAATAACTCTCTCAGATCTGGAGTCCACTCAGAATCCACATCCTGGAACCTCTCTGGAAGGTGGGCATCTACATCCTTTCTCTCAAAGGATTGCTTAGAAATTGTTCTTTCTTTTGAACCATATCTGAGAGGTGGTGCTTCTCCTCCTTAATATAATAGACAAGTGACTGGGACAGTCAGTCAGGAC